CCCTGTACCTTTTTCATCGGAGGAGAGGGACTCGGCCCCGCTGGAAGACAAAAGCAGGCACAATTAGAGCTCTGCCAGCCCTTGCCACCCTGCCAGCTCCCTGCCCTGGCACCGCTCCCAGCCCCGGGAATGCAGGGGGATAGCTTGGGGCTGGGCATTCCCCATTCCCCTCCTGCAGCACCAGCTCCCTGCTGGCACCCTGGGCACACCTGGACACAATTCCCACTGGCACCAGCTCCTCTCCCAGCCCTTTCTGGCCTGTGCCAGTGCCCGTTGGATTTGGGAGCAATCCAAGCAATCCCCAGGCAGGCAGGAGACCCAGATAGATAAACCCTGCCCTGCAGCACAGCCACCTGTGGCAAACCCACACCAACCTCCATCCGCCCGTGGAAAAGGGAAACCTGCTGTGTGAATCATCCAGGAATTCAAATCCTGCTTGGAAACCTTTTCCAGGAGCTCCATGACAGCTGCCAGGCAGAGCCAGCAAGGAAAAGCTGCCCTGAGGAAGGGGATGGCCCTGGGTGCAGCCACCATAAAGCAGCAGGTGACATCCAGCTCACTGCACTGCGGTGGCACCACGAAACCTCCCAGAGCCTCTGCCCTGCCCAGGTGGAGAAGCATCCAGCAGGGTTTTTTTTGAGCTGTGAAGGTCACAGTGCAATCCCAGAGATGCTGGGGATGGTGAAGCTGAGTTTTGGGAGCTGCTGAGCTCTGGGGGCTGATTTTGGCCACCCTGGAGTGCCCCTGGAATGAGTGGGCATCACCACAATGATGGGGCCCTCAGCCACAGAATTGAAAAAGAAATAAACAGATGGGAATGGCAGAGGCAGGAAAATCAATGAGTGAGGATTCCTGAGCAGCTCAGCTGGGGGGTCCTGGCAAAGCACAGCAAAGGGGCTGCAAAACTTTCTGGGTCAAGGGCAGGAAGAAGTGGGGAAGCTTTTGCCCCACAAGAAATTACACAACAGTTTACTCTTCCAAACTGTATCTTGGAGGAAAAAAAAAAAGAGTAAATTTATTTATCTGGAGGATTTGGATGCTGCCCAGGGCCGGCAGCCGAGCCAGGCAGTGTTTGTGCAACCCTTCAACCCTTCCACCAAGTGCTGGCTTGCTAAAATCGGCATCGCTTCCCTTCAGCCCCTCCAGCTGCATTCATTTCCCTCCTCCCGCGCTGGCAAACGGCGCAGAACGGGGGAGGGAGGAGGAGAAAACACAGAAACAACAACGCAGCGAGCGGGCCGGCGGGCACGGCGCTAACAAATAACTGTAACCACGGGCTGGGAACGGGCACGGCGGCTGCCGGCGCGATAAACGC